GTTGACCTCATGCATAAGTGGAGGGCAAGTTTGGGGCCCAAAACTATGGAGGTTCATATGACCCACGGATAAGCTAAGAGTCATTCCCTTGAGATGGGCTAAACTCTCTCCTTTTGCCACTCTACTTAGAGAAGGAAGTAGTTCCTTTTTGGATAGGAGTTAAGTACTTAAATTCACCCTTTTTTGAAGCCAATTTTAACTAACATTTCTAGGCTTGTATAAGAGTACATACAGTAAAGCTGGACAGTATGAAGCTAGCCAGTTCTGTTTCCTAAATACATAAGCCCACTAGAATGAAACAAGTCCCATATTGAATTCCAGCCATTACAGTATCTAGTTTTACTATTTGTCTTTGCAAGACTACCAGATGCTAACCATAACGCCTACATTTAGCTTCATGTTTTATTCTGCTGGTAGATCTGTTCTTACGACCTCTGTTTTCGTTTGTGGTGTTGCTCTCCAGCTTTTTTTAATGTTTATGTTTTTATTTTCTAGTTTGCACATGTGTTGTACACAAGCGTTGCCATCACCTTATTGTCACAGCTTGCACATGCCAGAACAATAGCAACAAGTTGGATACAAAGGTAAGGCAACAATTTAGTGTTTGGGATGACATAGGTTGTTAGTTGCAGTTATGGAATGTATTTGGCTTCTCCTTGCATAACCTATTTTATTTCACAGAATCATAGAGTTACACTTTCTAGTGTAAAGAAATTTGTTGCATTTTAGGTCTGCATGTGGCGAGGTCAATATTTAAATTCTATCCTTGTACAAAAATAGAAAGGGCTAAGGTAGCTAACATAAAAGCCAATGAAACAAACCATTACGGAACATAAGACACACTAAAAACATGTCAGTAAACATCAGAGAATAAACAGTACCAGTTAAACAAAACAGTTGAACGGTCAAAAAGATCAACTCAATGGAACCGGTATGTGTTGGAGAAAGTTGGAAAAGCCAAAGCTGAATGAGCTCAGGCTTGCTAGGTAGATCATAAACTATATAAAGAGTTTTGTTTTGTTTATGTCCGTAGTAAAAGGAAGAATAATGAAATGCTACATGCAGGTGACAGCAAAATGTTAACAAGGATAGAGA